TATGTAGCAATTTTAGGAAAAAGTCCTAGAAAGGAATATCTACTTCGAAAACATGTTGTTCTTATTTTGAAAAGCATTTACCTTTGTGAACAATGTTAACATGTTTCTTATAATTGGAAAATTCAGTAAAAGATCTGGAACATAATTGGCATACATGCGGTTTCTCTCCTTTATGCACTCTTTGATGGCTTTTCAAGGATTCATAGTATCTAAATGTTTTACCACATTCTTGGCACACAAAAGGTCGGTCATCTGTAATTAAAATAGATAACTTTTTAATAATAATTTGTCATTTGAATACACAGGTCTTAGTTCAATACAACAAATAAGTACTAAAACTATATATATCATCTGATAATGAGTATTACAATCAAGAAGATTCCGCCTCTTATGATACGGCAGAGGTTATCAGTATTACATAGAATGTTTCAATAAGAGTATTCTTCAAAACTCCAATGGATATGGGAGTTGCAAAACATGTCAAAAAAGATACAATGAATTTCCAAATATGGAATTTAGATATTATTCTTTGGCAATTTGGGGTTAAGTCCACTTCTTAATTCATTGTCTGTGACCAAATACAGTCGGCAACTCTGATAACATTTGGGTAAGAAGGGCAGCATGTCTGTTTGAAGTATGCAAGGAAAATCTGCACCAGCCTCACACCTTTGGCTTATTTTCGTTTTCAGGTTCATTCAGTTACAATCAGTTCACAACTACTGAAATTCAAAAGTGCACTTTTCAGGACATTCCTATGTATCACCTTAACTCGAGTGGTGTTGAAGGGTGAAGCCTGTTTGGAAGACTGCAAAGAGAATCAAAAGGCAGAATCGATCTACGAGTAACTGTAAATAAGATATTATGTGCAAGTGTAGGGTGTATCATGCAACTGAAAAGCACAACTGCCTGTGACACTGATTAGGCCTGACTTGTGTTTTTATCCCTTTCTCTTTCTTACACCTCATGTTCTATATTTCTACATAGTATCTCTTTTTATCTTTTCAACATTCAACTTTTTACATCACTATCTATCCTTCTTTTAATGCAGGCCAGTAGCTTATTCCTTAACGGCAACTCACTAAATGTTATTAGGGAGCTATCTATCAATTTATGAAAATTATTAAATAAACACAAAATAATTTATGATAAATATAAAAATGAAAGAGAATGATATATTATTAGAGGTCCCCTTCTTGCCTTTCATGGACCCCATCATTATTAAACCACTTCATTTCTCAGGAAACATACCAGAATGTTGAATAGAGTGTCTTTGAAGTTTTCCCTTCTGCTTAAATCCCTTTCCACATATGGAACAGACATAAGGTAGGATACCTTAAACAAATGAGAAATTAACATTAACTCATTTCATGTAAATGTTTAGGGGGGGAATTATATTATTACCTTTGTGAGATTTCATATGATAGTCATAATGTGACTTTGTAACAAATCCTTTATCACATGTTTCACACTTAAATCGTTTGTTTTTAGATCCACAGTAATTGTGGTACTGAACAGTATATTTTGATGAACATTCTTTATTACAAATAGTACAACGATATTTTTGTGGAGTACCTAAATGAAAACAAAATAATATTACTTATTGATTGCAAAAGTATTTACTACATAATGAAACTACTATGTTTAATCCCTTACCAGGTAGTACAACTATGTGGCTTTGAAGCGAAAGTTTTTTATTTTTCACAGTCTTTGAAACAAAACTAGCTTTCTCAGGAGAGACATTTTCTTGAATCACTTTGGCTGGCTCTCCAATATTTGCTTCAGATGGATTGTTCTCTGTCGTGATAACTTCTGAAGATTCATCAGAATTTATGGCAAGGGCATCCGGAGAATCTGGGTTTTCGTTATTTGATTCTTGACTCTCACTATTTTCTTTAAAAAATTAGCCAGAACATTGAATATATTTAAATAATTAATATATATTACAGTAATACAACGCAATAGAAAAAGTATTTGTATTTTCAATGTAACGTTACCTTTTGCTTCACAAGCTAGACACCCTTTCTCTTCTCTTACTAAGCAGAGACGACATTTTTTGTGACCACAAGTATCACGAATTAATCTTGAAACTGAACTATTTACACTGCAAGAGCATTGTGGGCATTTTTTCATTTTGTGTTTTGGCATGATGGCTATAATTTGAAAACTTATTTACATTATCAACAAGATTAAAATAATCACATGTACTTAACTTGATAAAATAAGCATTGCTTTATTTTGAAATTGATACAAATTTAATTTAATTAATGTCTGCACCAAGGTGCGTGCCTGGTGCGTTGGGCTGCATATTCAGGGTCTCAAATTCCAAAACTAATATATATTTCAGGTAAATGAACTAAAACAAAAATTAAAAAAGGCACAATTCTCTCTCAGAATTACAAAAAATTAAATCTTCATTAATACTACAAAACAATATTGCGTACACCAGTAACCTAACACAAAAGGCTGAAGAGAGATGTTGCTTGAGCACTGGATGTAGGTAACATTAGCCCTTTGTTTTTCCACTTATGAGGTAATGATGATGATTCAATCACTTCTTTTTCATCTTTTCATTTGAATGAGAGGCTGTTTCTAACTACCCTATCCGACGAAATGTGCACCGTCCATTTGCACTGTCACACTCGGGTTCTTATTTCTTGTCATCTCAATAATAGGTGCCGAAATATTTACGAGACTACCTTCAGTCAATGTGGGCATGTACATACGTTTCTAATTACTTCCGTCATTTGTGAGAAGGAATCGTGGCAAGGATCAATCGTCGTAAGCACCACGCACATTCAGTTCTTTTTCATCATTTCATTTGAATGAGATGCTGTTTTTAACTACCCTTTCCGACGAAATGTGCACCGTCCATTTGTACTGTCACACTCGGGTTCTTATTTTTTGTCATCTCAATAATAGGTGCCGAAATATTTATACTACCTTCAGTTTACGTGGGCATGAACATACGTTTCTAACTACTTCCGTCATTTGTGAGAAGGAATCGTGCCGAGAATCAATCGTCGTAAGCACCACGCACATTCACATGCCCATCGATGTGTGCTCCTTTACACACCTGTTCACATCCTTCCAGCATCCCTCTCAGATCCCTCTGTTGTACACACCCCACTGGTCGAACCGACATCTGACATACGATTTAAATTGTTTACAACAGGGCAGCCACCACGCCAATACCTAAAGCAGTGCAACCACTACAAAAATGTTTTAAATGAACGAGGTAATGCATCAAATTGTCTAGAAATTTGGAAGAGCTAGTTGATTCAGTGTCATAACAAGGACAGATGTTAGAACTTTATTTATAATGATGAATAGATCGTGCGAATATTATTCAGTGTATTTTTTTTTACTTTTAAAAGTATATTTCTTTCACTTTAGTAAAAGAAGTGAGGTTATAAAACTGGAAATACGTGAGAAGAAAAACTCAAATAACATCAATTTCAAGAGAATTTCAAATAATTCTTTGTTGAATTGTTGTGACAAATGGATATATTGAGACGTCAGGTGTATATTAATTTTTTTCACTTTATTGATTATTTTACCTAGAATACATCATTTACATTTTCTTTTCCTTTATAGGTTTTAAATGCCTTTAAAGATCTTCACAAAGCGAGGAAAATTGTTTTCAGTGGAGATTCCTATGCATTGGAAGGTATCCAGTCTTATGATGGTAGATGTGATTATTCTTAAAATATAATTTCCTTCAGAAATCTTAATGAAGGAAATCATCTGAGATGTCAACCTGACTTTTGGCATAAGTACTCTCTCCTATCACATTAATAGAGAAAATTAATGCGTTTTATTCATTGTGTGGCGTTTGTAACTCTCAGAGACGCTTAAGCGTATATTCGTGTAATCAATGATAGCCTGTACTCCGTTGAAGAATTATTACAATGCTCGGTCATCCATAGTTTTTAATTCTTTAATATTTTTTCTCAAGAGGCACGCGCAAAAAATTAATGCGAGATCAAGACAAATAAACTACTCAAAGATCCTTTAGCATTCTAAAGGTAGGTATCAATTTATGTTACTATTCCAGTGATGGACTGGCAGGTTTATGTCTGGTTATTTTCAACTGGGTGATATTTGAATTTAATTTTTCAAAAAATGCATATCACTTATAGATGGTGGTGCTTTCAAAATCTGTAGAAAAGGAATTGAGAACATCAGTTGTGCAAGCTGAAGAAATATCACCTGGAACATATAGTAAGTTAAAATACATATAATATGAAATCCTTGTAAGATTTTTGTGACATCTTATTGTGAATTTTGTCTTTCAAGGGTTGAAAATTACACCTGAAACAAAGAAACTGGATAATGTGCCATTTAAAGATTGTGGTAGTTAATTATTGATAGCAATTCATGAAGTAGGAAATTTAATGTTTTCATATGATAGAATATTTGTGCCTGAACAATGTATCCTATAATTGAGTATGACAAATGTGAATAATAAATGTATGTTTCTTATGGATGTTGTTGCAAATATTGAATTTGAGCTGTGTTCTTTGATTGTCCGTGTTAAATTTTAAACAATAAACGCTATTGTGGAAGAGACGTCTTTGTTTTATTTACCCTCCTTAAAAACAAGTAATTTTGACCGAGGTAAAAAATTAAATATTGATAATGGGTACACTACTGGCTTAAGTGCTGAAAGTACTTATACGTGAAAAAGTTTTATACATGAGCTGTGCCGTGCCGTACCATGAAGTGTTCAGTTAGGAAAGTGGAGTATCTTCGCATTTTACTCTTTGCCATCTCAGACAGCTGAGATTCTCATAGTGGCGAGGGAATCCTCTGCGCAAGCGCAGTTGATTCTGGGGACACAAAGGTTTGTGATGTGTTAGAAAAGTCAGCTGTAGTTTTTTAGTGAATGACTGGGATTTTGGTGTGATTTCAAAACGTTTGTGCACATTTTACGTATGGGATCATGTTCAATGAGTGTGGATACATCGTTTTTGTATTACTGTTGGCTCCATACACTGAAAGCGGTAAGTGAAATTCATATGACAGCGCAGGGGTGAGAGGCCTATGCCTACCCTGCCCTTCCGTTTGAAAGTGCTTCGTACGAACTGTGACAACTTTAGCATGTGATATAAAAATTGATGGTAACCAGGATTGTGGGTATATGCGCACACATTTAGAGCATATAATGGCCCGTTTTTTAAATAAATATGCGAATTATTCATGAAGACATTGAAGTTTTTATCTTGTGTGTATGTTATGTTTTCTTGTTTGGAGAACGAGTGCTCCTGTGAATTCCTAATATATTTTGTAGAAATGGTACTTACATCACTATAAACTTGATATTTACCATTGGGTGTTTAGAAGAAACCTTTTGATAGTCGTAGTTACGAGTTGTGTACAGTGTGATTGCCTTTCCTGCTTCAGTTCTGCCTCGGGTAGCCCTTCTGTTTATATTTTTCTTTTTTTTTTATGTTGATTGCATATTCCATGTCATTTGTTTCAGTATTTTGTTTCGATCTAAAAACATGTTTGTAAATTTGCAGTGTATAATATTTTTCTAATTTCGGAAATTTACACCTGTAAAGGGAAGAAATGTGTTCACAAATTTTTTTTCATTATTGAAATCAAAATGAATGTGGTAATGTTGTACAAATTATATTTCCTTTTATAAAAAAAATCATGATGTTATTACATCTCACACATTGGTACATACTATTTTATCTTTAATGTTTGAAATGACACCTAAGTTGTGCACTTTTTCATCCTTCATGAGAATGAAAGTTGCTAATTTGATTCAGTTGTATAGCTCAAAGAAAGGAATAAGTGGACTAAAACGTTTCTTCACAGCCAAAACTACTTATATTTCTAAAAAGCCTCCGGATGGAGGCATAATAAATTCTGGGGATGGAATTCAATCCATTAAAATGGCTTATAATTCTTATGAATCTACAAATCCATCTTTAGCTAGTAGAGCCCCTCCTGTTATTATTATGCATGGACTACTTGGATCGAAAAACAATTGGAATTCAATCTCAAAATTCCTTCACAATAAATGTAGAAGAAAGATATTTTCTGTTGATGCACGGAATCATGGAGACAGCCCCCACACTGAGCAGATGTCGTATGAACACATTGTGGAGGATATATTACAATTCATGACTGATTTTGAAATAAAAGAAGCAACATTGATGGGTCATAGCATGGGAGGAAAAGCAATGATGCTTTTTGCATTGAGTCATCCTCAACATGTTGAAAAGTTGATAGTGATTGATATTTCTCCACTCAGTAGTAGTCCAAGTATGAATTTTATGCCTATGTATTTGGAAGCAATGAGAAAGGTGAAACTTGATAAAAACATGAGATTTGCTGCTGCTCGAAAAGAAGCTGATAAACAGATGGCCTCTCATGTTATTGACAGTGGTGCACGACAGTTCTTCCTGACCAACTTGGTGAAAGGTGAAGGTGGAGGTTATAAATGGAGGCTAAACATACCTGCTCTTATCAATAATTATTATAAAATTAATTCTTTTCCTTCTATCACAAACACTTTTGAGAAACCAGCATATTTCATTGGAGGAAGTAATTCAGATTTCATTCGAAAAGAAGAACATGATGACATAAGAAAAATATTTAAAAACGCAAAGTTTACATACATATCTGGTGCTGGACACTTAGTTCATTTGGAACAACCAGAAAAGTTTGTTGACAAAGTATGTGAATTTATAAAGGAAAAGTGATGGAACAACTCTTGAAAAAAGTGATTATAAATGTCAATGGAAAAAACACGCATTTCATCAAAAATTATTGGGGTGAACGTAGATGTATTGGTCAATGTAGACGTTCAGAGAATTCAGTTATGTGATCAGTAATTCAGTACCTGCTGGTAGGTTTTAATTTTACAATTGTCAAATAATTCAAAATGAATTGCAATGATGTACCAATAATCTGCTGTTTGGTTTTACTTATATTAAAAATAGTATTTGTGCCTGGGTTTTGTGAATTTATTTAATGGAAATTTAGCTGTCTTCTCAGTTCCCCATGCGCATTGGCAGTAAACTATAGGTCATGAATCCAGTAGGTTCCTGTATTAAATATTTTGGACTATTACCACCACAATTTTTTTTTCTTTTTTTTTCTGTACACACTCTTTAGGATTTTAATGCTTTGTGAAAATATTTGAAATGGACTGTTTGCAATTAATTTAGTAATGATATATTTAAAGTTGTTGAATCAAACCATATCTATTTTGTATTTTTTCTTGATAGTATGAATGTGTGTAATGTGATATCTATGTAGGACCATCATATAATCATTGTTTTTCAGAAATTTTTGAAATCCTTTGGACAGTGTATAAGTACCATTTTGTTCGTAATGCAGTGGACACTATAGAAATAAATATGAACCAAATACGATTACTTTTCAGGAACATTGGACAATGAATGAGATCATATAGAAGTTCAGAAATATTTTTACTATTTCTACAATTGTATTAGGAAACTATTAGGCCATAAAAAAGGTAGGGAAATTGCCTTAGAAAGGAAATTTCCCAATAAAGTGCTTGCTATTTAGGTCCTCGAGAGTGTTTGTTTGAATATATTTCGAAGTTCATGCGCGGATTCACGGGGAGGGAAGTAGGGAAATCTCCCCCCCCCCCGGTAAATTTTTGCGGTAACTATCAATTTTAACTTGTCACGAAACTTTCTAGTAAAAATATTCTCGGTTAATCATCAAAACGAATAAAATCGTATCGCAGCACGAGCTGAGTGTAATCTGCGATATTTTACAAAATCAGTAATGACACATTCCACCAAAACATTTTTAATTTTTCCTCCCAAAATTTGTCTCTGAATCCGCACCTACGAAGTTTGATTTTTGCGGTTGGGGGAAAATTAACTGTTAGGTCGCATGTAGTATGTTAGCATGCCCCAAAACCATTTATATTATATTGATAATATTGCAAAGGGGGTAGTAGGGTTGTACTTGCCCGATCGTGTATTTTTGCATGAAACGTTTTTATTGGCTTTTTCAAGAGTAAAAACCTTTTCTGATATTTGTTGGACTATCAAGGGAAGCGAAAAGCTAACTGTCAAGGAAGACTGAATAATTACTTCAAATGTTTTTAAGGGAGTGTGAAGTTTTCGAAGAACTTATCCCTATAATACT